CTTCGAATTGCGAGGTGCCTAATGAGGACAAAACCCATCGTGCTATTCCCTGGCAATTGGCACTGTTCTTGTTTGCTACATGCAACCAACAACGCACCCACCCTCGTCAATCCGCGTGCTCCTGATTGGGTCAAGTTTGGCTGAGCCTGTTCCAACAGACCGGGCTGGATCCAACGGGCGGTTCTCTCTTCAGTACATGTAATCTCGCACCCCTCTGTTGGACGCAATGTTTGTTTTCCTTTTCTCCCTTGCTCCTGCCGCCTTCCGTGAACTGCTTTAGAAGCATGGACGATGCGCCGCACGCCCAGCAGGGCATCTACTTTAACCCAAGTTTACCCCCGGGTATGCCAGTGATGGCCCCAATTGAAGAAATGACGGACAATTTGGAGGCAGAAGACGCATCGATGGTTCGTAACTGGTGTGTTCTCTGAGACTTCTACTAATTGGGCGTTGTAGATCTCGGATGACAGCGCTTCGATTGATGACCAAATGTACTATTCTTGCGTCTCTGTTCGCTTGAGCTTGAGGCAGTGGCTGACTTTGGGTAGTTCCACATACACAGCGTCATTGAGTGCCGTCACTTATCCCGTCGAATTTGGTCGGCGTTACCATGCTTATCGCCATGGAGGTACGGAATAGTCCGTCAAGCAACGCATTCGTCTGGCACGGCTGGGCCGGTAGCTAATGCGATTATGGCCATTCTCTAGCGTACTATTTGCCAAACGACGACGTTAGTGATTCTCTTGTTTGCTGTACTTTGCAGCCAAACTGGGATCTGATGTTTGCAGGACGAGATGGATCGCCTCGATATGACACACAACCTTACGCTCAAAATGCTTGATGACCAACTCTATTTGGCGCCGCTTGTGAAGCAAAACATTCGTAAGATTTTGGACATTGGGACTGGAACGGGGATCTGTAAGTTGCCATATTGATAACCCGGGCTTGACTTAGAAAGATTTGAACGGAACCTTGAGCTAATAACTTACCCAGGGGCCATGGAGATGGGCGATCTCTTTCCCAATGCAGAGGTGCGCAACCCCCGTGAAGATGGAATGAGCCCACGCGAAGGTAACAATTACCAAGTCCGAACTAACGCAGTTTGGGCATATTAGGTGTACGGGAATGATTTAAGTGCTATACAGCCGGACTTGTGAGTCCTGCAACGCCGAAATAAGTTTACAGGCCAGGAGCTGAACACCTTGCACGTACACAGGGTCCCCCCAAACGTCAAGTTCGAAATAGACGACGTCGAAAGCCCGTGGATAGGCGATCGGAAGTATGACTTCATCTTTTGCCGCTACATGATCGGTTCAATAGCCGACTACCCAAGACTGATCAGGAATATCTATGATAACCTCAACCCAGGCGGCTGGGCCGAGTTCACAGACATGAGCGGCAAGTATTACTCCGCCGACGGCACCCTGAGTGAAGAGCACGCCACGTACAAATGGAACAACATGCTCATGGACACCATCGCGTCCATGGGCGGCGAGAGCCGACCGGGTCCCCAGCTTGAGGGATGGGTTCGTGAGGCGGCAGATTTTCGGAACGTGGTTCACAGAAAGTATATCCTCCCCATAGGACCTTGGCCAAAGGATCCGCACTATCGAGAATTGGGACTGATCAACTTGATCCAAATCTTGGAAGGGCTCGAGGGCTTCTCGATGAGGACTTTTTGCGGTGTCCTGGGTTGGTCTAAAGTCCAGGCGGAGGTTATGCTTGCGCAGGTGCGAAATGAGTTGAAGGCGGTTCATATGTTTCATGCTCAGTTTCACATGTAAGTCTGGTCACAACTTTTATTTAATGGACCCCGCAACTGATTGGGTGCATAGCCATAGTGTAGTGGCTCAGAAGCCTTATGAATAAGATGCTTGGAATTGTCGGTTGGGAAGATTCCTATCCAAAGTTAATTGCTCGGAATATGTCCTCTTAAACCCATCATGCATTTCCTCGTGATGATGCGCATGAACGTCAATGGAGCTCAAGGAACTATTCCAATGTCGATAGCTATACAAATACAGTAATAAAGTACACAACAGCACTCTTGCTCAACTGAACAATGGCCTTCGAAGGTATGAGACCGGTGGCTTTGTTTCCGTATGACTCTGAAATTGGAATGAGAAAGGTTCTTGCGTTTGTGGGGGGTACCAAGTAATACACATCTTGAGGCAAGGGTATTCATGATGCAAAGTGACCATGGGTGCTTGAAGCTCACCTCACCTGTAGATCTTCGCATTTCATGCGATGGAAGAAAGAAATCTTCAAGGGGTGTGTGACAATACCATTATGGATCGAAGACGGGAGTTTGATCCCAGACCACGGATATTCCCAACTTTGTCGACCCCAGAAAGTTCAAGGTACAGTCACCAGCCACCCAGATACCGCTGAAATCACTGATCGAGGCTTGTTCACTAGTTATAAAAGGCACCCACCCTCGCCGCTTGAATTTCTTTCCTTTCACAATCATTGCTCCTGTACTTCTCCCGCCATTTGCGCTTGGCAACTTCAATTTCTTAGACAACCTACTTGCCTTACCTTCAGAACAACCCACCTAGAACAGAACACTCAGCACACTTCACTCGGAACAGCCTTATCGTACCAACTGGCTAGTCTCAAATGATGGACGATGCTTCGAAAGACGCCACAAATCAGCCTTCACCCGTGTCCGAAGTCACGCAACTTGCGTACATGCCCGATGTAGTGGTCCTTAACATCGTTGACATGCTGCTCAACGATGGCGACATTGCTGGGTATTTTGAGGGCGACGAAGAACGCTTCGATGTCTGTACCGCCGCCAACCCGGATGGTAGGCACAGCTGGGGAGTGCAGAACGCCACCAACTTAGCGAAAGTTTGCATGCGGTTCTACAACATCGTGAGTCCAGCAGTCTTCAGACACGACATTCAGCATCGTTGCGCATCCTCCTTGCTACTATCGGCCAAAAGAAACAATCTCGACGGTGTTTTAGCCTCACTTCGGCACGGCGCCAACATCAATCAGACTGATCAATCATTGATGCATGTCGAAGAAACCGAAATCATGGAGGAGCATCGATTTGAATGCTTGTTATTTCCGGTCAAAACATCCTTGACCGCACTGCATTGGGCTTCATTGTACGGATACAAAGAGCTGGTACATCACCTCCTCAAATTTGGCGCCGATGTCCAACACAGGGCCAACCTGGGCTTTTATCACTACTTCAGCTGCGACCCGTACGAAAACTGCTGGAAGGAGTATGAAACCGACATGGATGACCCTCATCGAGCTTTATTCTGCGCGACGAAGGCAGAATACAAGAAGTCGATAGATCGGAGCTCCGCTCAAAGCCAAAGGGAAACATTACCTTCGCCAATGGGCGCCAATCCGCTGTTCTTCGCCTTGAGGGGCAGTTTTGACAGCGAAAACCGCGCGTTGTGGGAGGCAACTTCCACAGAATACTACAGATTCGGTACCGAGCCTTTTGTGGCCGATGACATAAGTGGCTCACGTCTCGACATTGTCAAGGCTTTGATCAAAGCCGGATCATCCCTGGTCACTCGCGAGAAAGACAAAGTCCATGCTCTACATCAAGCCTGTGCCTATGAGGACGTTGACGTGGCTCGCTTCCTCCTAGAAGAAGTAGGAGTCGATCCCAATACCGAGGATTCAAAAGGCGACACTCCTCTTCACTACGTGGCTGCCAGTCAGCAATACCCTTGCTATGCCTGCATTGAAAGCAGCTACGAGCCCAGACGACGTACGCAAGAGATTGTGAACCTACTCATCAATAGAGGGGCAAATCTCGATTCCAAGAATCTCGACGGAAGAAAACCCACTGACTGCGGCTTGCTTTCCATTTACAACAACGAGGAAGAGAGAGAGGTGCTTGGTCCATTGGTGTTGTGCGCTTGACCACCTACGCAATGTTTCTTGCTGTCGAGCGAGCACCAAACGCAGACAAGACGTCAAATGAATAGAGGCAAATAGAATAAACCTACCTAAACTGAAGCACTTGGTGATTGGGCCCTAATGAAATATTTGTATGTGATCTCACCTACACACATTGGCGCAATCCACAAATTCCGATGTCTCTGCAATGATAGAAACAAACACTTTCTTGCTGATTGAGCAAGGGCGCGGCCTGATTCATTACAGCATGAAGTTGGTCGCAAACTAACACCTCAAATAATCATCACGGACTTCTACGATATCATCGTTGTTGCAGTGCTCATTGAGATACCAAAGGTACGTAAGTAGGCAGACACAGCTGCCATCGGCGAGCTACTACACTAAAGCGTCAACAAAGGACAATGTTAAATGTCGCGTGTTGAAATACTTTGGAGACTATGGATTGCCAGCGACTGAAGTTATGAAGGATGAGAAATCTTTGGAAGCTAGCTTGCACTAGATTGGTGTATGCATTCTCAGTGTTGAAGTAGAACCTAGAACCAGCTTTCGCAAAACTGTCGACTTATTTCACAAAGGGAAGACATAGAATGTCTTGGAACTTTAAGCACACAATGCCTTGATTGCAGGAAATTATATGCAGCTTTCTTTGATGATTGTGTTAGGCAAGCTAGGTGGAGTTAGTAGAAAGACGACATGTCTTGCGAGCAAACCACCTGGCTGAAAGGGCTTTCGTGACCTTCTAGAAGTAGAAGAAATCAGGAAAACACCTTTCCGCCTAAAGTAGATGACCAGGAATCTGGAATCTGAAGACTAATTCTAGGTTATTAAGAGGAACAATTCTCCCACATTGCTCTCAGACACACCAACTCTTGATGCCAGGAATCTACAAGCTGTCAATCTCATCTGATATCCATACTCAGAAAGCGAGCTCAACTTTTCCACAATCCCTCACACATATCATCTTGATTGACACATTTTCGTGTCTTCTCTCTATCTCATTACATCCATATCTTTCCATCTTGTTATCTTGTCATCTCGTCATCAACTTCCCTTGTCGTCCCCTCCATCTGTGCTCTCTCCGCCCTCTATTCAAGGACGAATACGACAAGATGTCCCAGGGGCAGGGTTCAAGCGGCACTGTGCTCGACCCCGACAAGCGCTTTGCTGGCCACGAGAATGCCTTTGCGATTCGCCAACGCCACCTGGCATACCGAACTGCAAGTCTCTTTCTAATGCACACTAATTCGATCAATCCTGAGCATGGAAAGTACACCACATACTCCCATGTAGACGACCTGCCTCGGCTCCAAACATCCCAAGCTCAGGCGCCACATGAGGTGAAGTTGACTTGCGACACCTTCATCTACTTGCAGAATCTCACCCCATTGCTCATCAGAGATTCCGAGATCATCTCTTTAACCCCTGTGTGTTCTTTCAACACTACCTTGAAGCCGCGTGAGGATGTAAACCCTTATGTTCGGCCGGATTCGAAGCCTTGGGTTGAAGTGCCTTCCACGCAACCTCATCTCAAGAAAATCTTGATCTCAAGTAATCCAGATTGGGCCAATCATCGGATCCAGACCGCTCACGATAGGACACATTGGCCCTCTTTGGACGTCACCCTCGATCGTGCGACGCCTCTAGTCGACATGCCGAAATGGCTGGGAGGCGAGCTCGGTCCAGCTGCTGCTCTGCAACATCTTCTGCCTAAGGAGCCAACACATCGCGAATGGCGTTCAACATTCACCATCGACGTCCACTGCAGAACTGTGTTTCATCTGCTCGAGCGGCTTCACTTGGCGGCGGCCCAAAAGCTCGATCAATCTGTTGAGGAGTCCCATGGTAACGCTGCACGATTACGTCACGTTGACAAGTCTGAAAAAAATCAACAAACGATGGGCATTCGGATTCGGAAAGAGGAACTTCGGTAGCATCTTCAAGACAAAGATGGTTGAGATCGATCATGACTTCCTCCGTTTGCCCTTTCATGATACGCACTTGAAACAGAACGTCCTTTCTGCCGGACGCAGGAGAATCGACTCTCCTATGCAGATCAGAACTATGGAGGCAATCTATCAACAGTTATCAGTGTGGAAGCGAGATGGAGTCCCTCTCGACATCGACGCCAAATTCTCATCTGGCCGGTTCTACTTATTTGAGTGGAAACATAGTGATCTCAACATTCTGCCAGGTTCTACTTTCGGATCATCGGGAAGGACAGCCGGATACGACGAGTTGGGTCGCCTGGAATTCCAGAGAATCTTCTCTTCGCTTTCCTGCGCTTTCGAAACCTACACCAAGAGTACCCGGAAATCGTACTCTATGATCAAGTTAATCTTCGCTAAAGAAGGAATACTGCCACCCACCTACCATGACAGAGTACTAGCCCTGAGCAGAGATTTGCGCAATCTCCAGATGGTGCTGCTGCTTCTGGGTCAGGTGAAGCTACATTTCGGGGACATCTTACGATCGCATCTTGTGTGGCTCAGCCAAACAAAGGCCGACGAAACCCAACATGTGTTCAAGGACAAGGAAAGCTTTCGAGACCACGTCGAGCGCGCAGTATCGGGCAAGAAGCCCAAAGCCAAGGCTATCCGAGCGTATCTTGGTGCCGGCGAGGGTGTTACTTTCGGGGAACACCTGACCATCGATCGAAATCAATACAATCGCTGGGTGGCAGAGAGGCAGAAGATGATGGCTCAGTCCAAATCCTCAGCGGATACGAAAGGGAAAGGGCTTCCTTCGACACCTGACCGTGGCTCTCGCAATGCTTCAACGGGTAGCACGTCACAAGCAACGTTGATCGAGCAACAGATGAGCCAGCTTCGCCTCGATGAACACCCATCTGAGAAGTTCAGGGGACCGGATGAACCTGAAGATCCCATCGATCCGGAGACCCTCGCAGTCGAAAGAGAACGGTTCGAAAGCGGCTGGGTGCCGGCGGCGGAATCCTATATCGGCATCGTCTGCCGATATCAGGATGCTTTGAGAACGATCATGGCTGAATTAGGAGCCGACTTTCTGTCTTTCTTCTATGGTGCTCGCTTTGAAGCCGAGGAAGGTCCCGAAATCCTTATGGTCAACGCAGAGCCATGGTATAAAGACTCTAGCGTCCTCAATTTCAAAGAATTCTTCAGCAAGTTCCCGAAGACAAATGGCGATCGTTGGTCAGAGCAAGAGTTGTTGACCATGGAGGACAACATGATGGCTCGCGTCTACGGCCCCAAGAAAAAGGACTGGCCGCCCAAAGATAAGTTGACTCACAACGGAACATGGCACGCAGAGACTATTGTGCTATCTTTGCATCACTTGGCGACGGAATTGTTTGAGCGGATGGACCAGACTCTTGTGCGCGAACCCACGAGATCAGCCCTCTTTGAAAGCCATCTCCTCCCCAAGTTACGGGTGCTCGGAAATTTCCTTAACCTCTCATCTGTTCTAGCTGTCTCGAAGAGATGTTGCCCCAGCTGCAACATGATGGTAGAAGTGACTGAGACCAGCCGCAAGATGCAGATTCTCCGCCCTGGTGATCACTCGGACTGGTTCAGCACCTCTCTACCCCCATGGCTTCCAGAGAAAATCTTTTCCAAGATGGAGGCTCGAATCTTTGAAGAGGTGTCAAGAAGGTTGGCAACGCCCTTATCGGAAACCGAACTTCCAAGGTCTGGTAGCAGCGGAGGATCGGGACCGGCGCAAAGTATCCCTGATGCCCCTAGCCGCGATCACATGTTCGACGTCATGGTCTTGAATTGGAGGTCACTAGTCCGGGGGTCTCCAGCTTCATCCGTAGCGCCGTCTTCTCCAGAATTGGGTATAGCTGATGCCCTGGCTAGAGGAGGAGGTGGAGAAGGATGGGGATTCGGATCCAGGGGCTCGACTAACAACAATCGCAACAACAGAGGAAGTGCGGGTTCGCGGGGAGGCGGTAGCTCTCGTGGAATCAGCTTCCGAGGAAGAGGAAGTGGTCCGGGAGGCGTCTCGCGCGGAGGTAGCTCACAAGGAAGCAGCTCACGAGGAGGCGGCAGTGCTCGTGGGAGCGGAAGTGATAGAGGCAGGGGTGGGCCGTCTGGACGTGGAGCTGGCTGGATTCAAGTCGGAAAGCGTGAGCCATCGACGACAGTCCCAAGAGAGTCTGACCCTCCATCCCCGAAGAAGCCCAAGTGGTGATGTACTTAGTGTGAAAGTGGGCGCGGTCGGGTTCAAGAATGGGCGGGAGCGGGTAGAAGGGTTGTTTGATGTCATTTTCTGATGGCTTGGTGTTGCTCAAGAGGTTCGGCCTGTTACCTCGAGAGTTGTCCTCGGGTAGGTTTGCCGTTTCCTACCCCAAATGTACGTGACGAATGTCAGGGACCGAAAGAGAAAAAAAAAAAAAAAAAAAGAACAAAAAGGATTCGTTTTAAGAAGGAAGCAATGCAATTCGAGAACGATATCATTTGCACGTGTAGTCGATGATCCCTTTTCAACTTGAGTCACTGACCTTCGCAATATAAAACGCATAGACTTTATCCAATGATTTAATTAGTGCGTCCTGCAAGAGGTTCTCCGAAGCGCAAGGACATGTGATTAGTGGTGGTAGAAGTCAAGATTAAATCTTTCCTCTCCGGAATTATCAAAGTCGAGGCAACCTTAATCTCGACATTGGTCTCAACTTTTACAGGGTGGGCGGAAGATAATCGATTGAAAAGGAGAGCTTCACAAGCGATAAATACTGTGAAATGGGTATAGTGGCTTTCGATGCACATATTCCACAGGCTTTGAATCGCGCAGAAAGTTATTGACTTATTGAACGTAGTGAGAGCATTGACGTAGATATTCTGTGAGAATCGCTAAACCTGAATCAGTAGAATCTGAAGCAGCACGCCGATTTTTCAGGTTCTCTGAAAACCACACCATGGAGCTTCAAGGCACTAAAAGGATGCGTCATCTCTATGCTCTGAGCCTAGTGCATCCTCGAATCCAATATTGGGACTGCAAGAAGACACCGCTGCAGACTGAGTGCCACGGATTTGTTGGATCGATAACAACGAGGTCGAATCTCCTCAAGAGCTAGAAAGAAAAATTATCAGCATGCGGCTTCGTAGCTATTGGGTACGGAAGATACAGGATCTGAATGACTTACCTCCACGAAGACCTTGTTCAGCTCCATCAAAGCCACGTTTCGCCCCAAGCACTGCCAGCGACCATAGCCAAAGACAAGCTCTAGAGTACCCTCCATCAAGCGCAGCCTTTCAACGTCGGATTCTAGCCATCGTTCTGGCCGGAAAACGTGGGAGTCTTGACCCCAGATATCCTGCCTGCGAAAGATTCCCCATGCACAATATCCGATACGGGTGCCTTCTGGAAGATGAATACCCTTGAAGTCATCGCCAGCTCCTCCATTCGAGACTTCCTTCGACATTTGACCGACTACTGGTGGAAATATACGAAGACCCTCCTTGATGACGGCTTGCAAGTATGGCATCTCGCGAGCCTCTGCATCGGAGACGATGGGCCAAGACAGCTTGGCAGCGTCGATTTCGGCTCGGAGTGTAGCAGTTACTTGGGGATTTGTGATTATGTGAAGAATGGTAGCCCGAATGGCGGTCGCGGTAGTATCAGAACCAGCTAGTCTTTTCAATATTAGTGCATTTGCCACGGTACGGTCGCCGCCTGAGTGTTCGATCTTACAACTGCATAAGAATCTCCGACTCAGCCTCAGCTTGTGTAAGCCCTCGCGCGACGAACGATCCAAGCATATCTTTTTGGACCTTCTTGTTTGGACCGAAACGCTCTGATGCAACTTTCTTGGCAATGCTAGACCCGGCGAAGAATTCCAAATGTGAGCAGAGGCGACGCGTAAAGGTGGCTGCGTGGGCAGCAAGTTTTGCGGAAGAGCATGTAACTTGAACTTACCCCATCGTCTTTCCCACGCCGATTGCATCTTTTTCAGAAGGCATCATACTCCTGAAAATAGGCGAAGAGAGGAGTGCAAGAAGCCATGGCAGAACACTCGTCACGAGAATTGTTGGCATGTTTTGCTCCATGGTCTTGATGTACTCATGGACATCCGAATCAGTTGCCAAGTCTCCAAACGGCTCACCGAAAGCCAGGTCAGAGATGACATCGAGGGTGAAGTATTGCGCCTTGGCTCCAAAGTCAAAAGCTTCGTCGCGAGAAGCATACTTCTCAATCAAACCGATGAGTCGAAGGACGTTTTGATCAATTTTGGCTTCGAGATCTTCGACTTCCTTACCAGAGTACTATCTATCGTCTTAGTTCGCTGTGCCTTTCTCTTGTACATTGAGCATTTATGCAATTGCTTACACCTGCGGCCATTTTTGACCGGAGTTTATTATGCAGCTCATCATCTCGGGTGGATAAGACATTGTCTTGGCCAGGCTTGAGTCGCATTCCATCATACCAATTAGATCGCTTGTAAGTCGTCCGCACATTAAGCATACGCTTCATGAGATCCGGATCGCTGGTGATGAGATCATTCGGCCCGACACGAACTATTGACCCTATTTGGCAAAGATGGAAAACGGTTATTTTTCACAAGCGCTTTAGCGCAGGCTAAGGGGTTGAAGTATAAAACACACCATATTTCTCGCACGCCTCATAAAAGTCGAGGTGTGTCCTACCGCCGCCGACGGCGCGAACGAGCCACCATTTCGAAAATCCGGCGCTCGGTGGCCCCTTGATGTGCCGAAGCCGTAAGTATTGGCGAGCGATGGATACGACGCTGTACGCGATGAAGGCCGAGACTGCGATGCTGGCGTATGCGAGGTATTCCCGACTCATGGTCGCACTCAAGCCCACGAGGAACCGATTCGTGTATGAAAAGGTTGGATCATGGGATTGTGAGTGTGGATAAGAGGAGGAAACAGTGTCTCGGGCCACACATGGGAAGGGGAAAAAAAAGAAAGTCTGAGAAATCCTGAGACGAACTGCCTTCTCGGTCAAGGATGCCGCGGCACGGTGGAGGGCACGGGGAGCCTGGGAGGATCTGGGGAATATTTTGACCGAGAGACTGCATCGATACGACGTTCAAATCCTTCAATGGCCCTGGAATAGCATGCAATAGCAGCGAACATGACGCCGAAATGTTACCAAAGTTTCTGACGAGTTGACGACCCATGGCGATATCATTGTCGGTTCGGGGTCTCTGCCCAATAGCGTCTACACTTGCGACGGGTCTGGACCCCCTAGTCTTTAGGCGGCTTAGATGATTGACACGGCAGACTCGGGAATGCAACCTTCCCGCACGGAGCAGGGGCCGGCGTGACGGGGTTTCGATCCAATGAGATTGTTGCCGTGTTTTGCAATGCCCTGCTATCCCTCTCCTCCTCCTCAATCGCATCGGCAATGACCAATGCCAACGGATGCGTCTAGCGGGGGTATGATGCAACGTTTAACGGGCACGGCTTTGCCCGGGGGGCATTGCCAGAAGGAGGAGAAAGAATGCAGAGAGGGGGCAAGCGGTGAGGTCGCATCTCCTGATCTGCACCGTTAGATGCCATCTGCTGGTTCATTACGAGAGGCACAGCCCAACCGTCCAATTAGACTCTGCCTAATCTTCGATCTGGCGGTTAAGGAAGCTTGTGGCTTTTGTTTTTCTGGAGATTCTTCTGCCCTTCACATTTTTTTCGCGTTTCACAACTTTTCTTCAATTGCACATGTTGGCTTGATCGCCGTTGAATTTTGAATTGACACCCCATTAAAAGGGTCTCATCGTTCGGTTCCTTCTTGAGCCTCGACCCTCCGAGGCTCCGACAGATTTAATCATGGCGGATCCAGCACCGGCGGAAGCCGGCCCGCTCGAAGCAGACGTCAGTTCGACGACCTTCCAACATATCTGCTTGCACTCGACAGACCTTGATGCTGATTCTTTTCGATAGAATGGAGAGGAGAACGACAATACCAATGATGACAGCGACTCAGCCATGGGAGTGGTGAGTAGTGGTACCTCGGTCTAGCGGTGCAATGTTACGCGTAAAGCTAATCCGTGTTGCAGTCTGTGCTCGGGTCATCTGCATCCATGACAAGCAGTATCATGCGTTACCGCGAAGAAAATGGAAGAACATACCACGCATATCGAGAGGGCAGTAAGTGATTCAAAGCTCTTCAGCTTGATAGCATCTCACATGTGCTATTGTACTGACCATAGCTTTTGCTTAGGATATGTTTTGCCGAATGACGCGGTAGGTGGTCTTTAGCAGCTTAACCGCCCTTCTCCAACCTCAACTCGGAACTAACGCGTCGCCTATCGGGAATCGCAGGTCGAGAACGACAGGCTTGGTAAGTGACATAGTATTTGTTCTCTCATCAAAGAGATGCTCATGCCTGCGTAATAGATCTTCAGCATCACTTATACACACTTACCTTTGATGGAAAGCTGTTTGTATCGCCGGCTGGCCGAGACAAGCCTTTAAAAAGAGTACTAGATGCTGGAACCGGAACCGGAATTTGGGCAATGGACTTTGGTAAGATAGCTGTATCCGCGAAGTTAATAACTCAAGATAGCTAATGCCCTATTCCTGGCAGCCGATGATCATCAAGAGACACTAGTAAGCTCGCCCAGAGCCCAATAATTCCTTGTCAGGCAATATCTAAAGACTGGCAGATAACCGGTGTCGATCTCAGCCCAATACAACCGCCATTGTAAGTACCATCAGCATAACGATCCTGCAAATCAAGGATTTTCGATGCGTTGATTTACTAATCAATGTTCAGTGTACCTCCCAACGTGACATTCTATATTGACGACCTAGAAGATGACTGGACATACTCCTACAAGTTCGACTTCGTCTTTGGCCGAATGCTCACAGGTTCCATAGCAGACTGGCCAAGGTTTATCCGCCAAAGCTATGAGTAAGTTCTTACTCGCTGCACCCGGGCTTTAACACTGAATATATACGCCTCCGCGGCTCCGCCTTCTTGTCTGACGGTATATCATAGATACCTCGAACCCGGAGGCTGGATAGAGTTGTCCGACATCCTCTTGGATCTTCAAAGCGACGACGGAACAGTTAGCCCCGAATGCGCAACCCAAAAGTGGGCAGTGCACATGCTTGAAGCGGCAGCGATATGGAAACGACCACTCGACAGCTGCAAATTCTACAAGGAGCAGCTCGCCGAAGCGGGGTTCACCAATATTGAGGAAAAGATTTACAAGTGGCCGTCGAACCCCTGGCCAAAGGATCCAAAATACAAAGAGCTAGGTAAAACGGCTTTCTGTTCAGCTCTTACCCGTGACATAGGACCAAAATGCTGACTGAATCGCTTTCCGAAGGCGTGTGGACGTACGAAAATCTAGGAAATGGCTTGTCGGGGCTTAGCTTGGCGCTTTTTACTAGGGCGCTGGGTTGGTCGGCGGAGCAGCTTGAGGTGTTCCTGGTGGATGCTAGGAAAGACATGAGAGACAGGTCTATACATGGATGGTGGCCAGTGTGAGCAACTACCTTTTCCCTTGTTACGAGATCGAAGTCCAGCTGACAGTATCTCAGATATGTGGTTTACGCACAAAAGCCGGAATGAAGTCAAAAGCAACCGAGTTGAGAACGCATCGAATGGAACGACAGTACACACGCACGACGAATATAGTTAACCCGCGCCGGCACGCAGGCATGGTATTCTGTGCTTGAACCCAGCAAGTCTTCAAAATATTTACCTAATCAATCCAATGACCTGGATTATTATCTGAAAAAGAGACTGCAATTAAAGCTCCCTCATTATTGTTCAGAGTGAGGCGATACCATACTTTTTCTTGATGATATCCGCAATCTGCACTGAAGTTAGTAATCGCGTACTTAAGCGCTCCAGATGCCCTTCTTACCTTTTCTCCAGAGGCATAAGTCGTTGCCGTCGGCGCTGCAGTCAACACCATGGGCCAATAACTAACATCAATAACCCTCAACCCCTTAACCCCATAAACCTGCATCTCCGTATCCACCACACCTCCTTCTTCCTTGGGTACCATAGCCGCAGTACAACACGAATGGGCGTTCGAAGGTGACATGTTCGCAGCCAGCAACGTCTTCATCTCTTCTTTGGAAGCGGTATCATACGGCGATGCCATCTTGGGCCCAAGAATCTTCATCGCCGGCGCAGACATGATCTCCTTCCCCTTCTCAAACAGCGCCACAGCGAGGTTGAAGTCAGTGGGATCAGAAGCAGTGCGAAAGTCAATGACGGGTTGCTGCAGCGGGTCCGTGGAGTTAATCTTCACCGACCCCCGGCTCAGCGCCCGGAGGAAGTAGAGCGTGATACTATTGCCGGTGCCCCAGTGGACCATGCCGAGGGGCACGTCTTGTCCTGCGAGCTGGTCGAGAACGATTTCCCGCTGCTTCTTGTAGCCTTCTTGAACGGATGCAGGGGTACCTGGAGCAAGATACTCGGTGGGGTCGTGGGACTTTGCAGTGGCGAGGATGTCGCGCCAGGAGGAGGTTGTGTTGGCTAGCGGCGGTACGGCTAGGTTTGTGCTCAGGGTTCTGACGATGGTGTACGCTCCCTGCTTCTCGGCGTTGTAAAGGGCGCGTTGTTCAGCGTCGTATGTTTTGTTGGTGTCTAGAGCTCCAGAGTTGGGGAAAACATTGTTTTCAACTGTGTTGTTCCCTTCAGTCACTATACTTTTGCTCTCGAATTGAAATGGTACCAACATGTGAAGGGAACCTTTAGTTCACCCTGATCCATAAAGTTCTCGCCGACCCCAGGCAGATCTGCAATGGTATCGATTCCAAAGCTCTTCAAGAATTTCTCTGGCCCAATGCCAGAAAGCTGTAGAATCTGTGGTGTATGGAGCGCCCCAGCTGCCAGCAGGACCTCCTTCTTTACGTAGACCTCGAGGTGCTCACCACCAGTTGAAGGTAGATACTCGAGACCAACGGCCCTCCTTCCCTTGAATAGGATCTTGGATACAGTGTGTCCAGCCAAGATGTGGTAGTTGGGACGAGAGTCTTTGACGCGTTGGTAATGATTGATCCGCGCGTGGCTCCGGGTCCGGGTTGTTGCGTCGGCGAGGGTGGGGAAGTTGAAGAGACCGACAGCCCGGTCGCCGCCATTGGGGTCCGGGGAAGGGGTGAGGCCGCTTTGTAGAGCAGCTTGCCAGAAGTTTTCTACGTGATTTTAGTGGAAATTACATGTCGGAACCCTACTCCTTTCTGTATTGAGATACATACCAGCACCGGGGAAATAATAATTGGGATACGAGGCACGGACAGGTCCGGTGTGGCCGTGAGCCGACTCTACCCACGAGATGTTGGCAGCGTCAGCAAAGTCTTGAGGCGGGGTCGTGAAATTCTCGCTCTAGCAAAGGTGTGATTAGCATTCCCAGTTCCATGCTGAATGTACATCCAGATAGAACTCACTTTCCGAAAGTACGGCAACAGGTCATCCCATCCCCAGCCTTTGGCACCCAGCTGCTCCCAAGCCGCATACTCTGACTTCCCACCGCGCACAAAGACCATGCCGTTGACTACAGAACCGCCACCGACTACTCGACCGGCAGGCACTGAAAAAACGCGGTTGTTCAACGCAGGCTGTGGTGCGCTGTTCAAGTTGGGCCAAAGGTATGGCACAGGGAAGAAGGCACCTGGGACGAGGACGCTGTCTTCATCCTTGTCGAAAGGCCCGGTCTCAATGACTAGGACTTTGACTATTTCACATGCATTAGGTGGAGAATTCACGTCTGAGGTAGATGAACTATGGCACGGTCTCTACTTACTGCTTGGGTCTCCGGTCAGCCGATCGGCAACGGTAAGGCCCGAGACGCCTCCGCCGGCAATGACGAAGTCATAATCAGT